GAACAAGGGCTGTACATGACCGGACGAGAACCTCTCAAGGCGATCATGTCATTCCGCGCTGGCAAGAGCGCTACCCAAAAGATCGCGGTCGCGATTCGCCCGTATCCTTCTCCTGCTGCTGCCTTATCTGAGGTGTGGCTAATGGCCAGGTTAACTATATTGATCTGCATCATGCTAAATCCCAAAGAAGGAGGTGGTTTCAACGCCTACGTGCTTTTAAGCTTAATGCTAGCGGGTCTTGGGGTGTCAGCGGATGGCGCTGCAGCTGCGTCGGATGACAACACTCGAATATTGCATGTTCAATACAGCCGGCCATTCGAGGGTTACAAAAAAGCATGATGATGGCACGCTGCGGCGCTGCCGAACAGCGCTACGACAGCATAGCCGGTCTCGCCAAGCCCGCCAGATAAAGTCGGACTGCAATATCTGATTGGCTCTTAACCAAATCATGTCTCCAAGCCGCCTGAAACGGCATCGGTGCAGCGACCAGTTGAGAAAGCGACCCTGTTGTGATTGGAGCAAATCCCGTTGGTCATCTCATCTAGCGAGATTGAACATCCATGCAGATATGTAAGGGATGTAAGACTCACAGTAACGTGTATACAATTGCCATCTAACAATTACTAGAGCCAGGTCTTCTTGTCACGTCATTGATTACACAGTGACGGTGTATGTAATCCTTGTTCTTGGTTCGAAATCATCTGCACATCAGTCTCGCGCAGTATCTCCGACGATTGCCTCGGTACTTTGACATACGAACTACCATACAATCAGTAGCGGCTCGTGCCGTGCCCTTGGGAGTCACCGTCAGGGATGAAAAAGGAACACATCATGTTGGTTCACTCGATCCGGGTTGGCAAGCGTGCCATGCCCGAGTTGAATTTGCCTCGTGCAACCGTGACCAACAGACAAAGGCGACGGGACACCTTCCATGGACCCTAGGCGATAATCCTGCATGAGACAGCTTCATTTGACAGCCGACCTAGTAATGATCCACTCATCACCTCTACGCCGTTATCAGGATGGCTGCAGATCGATCCGTCCCATCCAATCGCGTCAGCGCACCGGTTTCTACGTTGAATCTCTACGCGACGTTATTCACATCCCTAAACTAGTAAGCATGCCAATCTATAGTGCATTTCTGCCAAGACCTGCGCGTCTGACCTGCTACGCGCAACATCCTCCTCCTTCTCTAAGACTTTCCGCCCGTTCTATTACCGCTACTAAGGTGGGCTGAGAGCAAGTAGTGCCCGAACACACTGTAGCACCTACCCAACTAGGTATCGGAGTGGTTCAAACGCCATCTTAAGCCGTTCTAGCGACTAACACACCTTGTGCTGTGGTTCAGGTACGTCGGCATGCCACGAGACCGCCTTGTCGGTGGCTGCTAGTCCTTATTGGAAGGTGCATTTGCCTCCTGCCATCTCGTCTCAACACCAAATTATCAAGCACCTCTATATAAGAGGTACCGGATGCCCTCCAACAGCATCAGGCCAGGAGCACAGCAACACTCAGCCCTCATTAGCAATCTTCATCGTCTCTCGCTCCAAAGACTTCCATCTTCGATCAATCCGCCAACATGAAGCTCTCACTTCTTCTCGCACTTTTGCCTGTGGCTCTTGCCCTTCCCGCCCCGGTCATTGTTCCTCGTGCTGGCGCTCCTATTCCCGGAAGATGGATTGTCAAGATGAAGAACGAGAACCTCCAGAACCTCATCGACGTCGCCTTGAAGGTTCTCAAGAAGGACCCTGCCCACGTCTACAAGTTCGCTGGATTCGGCGGTTTCTCTGCTGATATGGCCGACGACATTGTTGAGCTGCTCCGCAACCTGCCAGGTGTAAGCTATACAGCCTCAGAGGATCATATTCAGTACTGACACAGTCCAGGTCGACTATATTGAGCAAGATGCTATTGTCAAGGCTAACCTTGGCGAGTCGCACCTCGAGAAGAAGGCCTACACAACCCAGTCTTCTTCCACATGGGGCCTTGCTCGTATCTCCCACCAGCAGCCTGGTACCAGCTCTTACATCTACGACACCACTGCTGGTGCTGGTACTTGCGCCTATGTCATTGACACTGGCATCTACACTGCCCACCCCGAGTTTGAGGGCCGTGCTACCTTCCTCGCCAACTATGCTGGTGATGGTCAGAACTCGGACGGAAACGGTCACGGTACCCACTGCGCCGGTACGATCGGATCCAAGACCTACGGTGTGGCCAAGAAGACCAAGCTTTACGCTGTCAAGGTTCTCGATGCCAGTGGTTCGGTAGGTTGACAATGCGTCTTAAGCTGAACAGCTTGCTAATGATCTACAGGGCTCCAACTCTGGTGTCATTGCCGGTATCAACTTTGTCGCCAACGACGCCAAAACCCGCAGCTGCCCCAACGGTGCTGTTGCCAACATGTCTCTGGGTGGATCTCGCTCCACTGCCGTCAACGCTGCCGCGGCCAACGCAGTCAGCGCTGGCGTCTTCATGGCCGTCGCTGCCGGTAACGATGGTGCCGATGCTCGCAACTCATCGCCTGCATCCGAGCCTACTGTCTACACCGTCGGTGCCACCGACAGCTCTGACCGCCTCGCTTCTTTCTCCAACTACGGTTCCGTCGTTGACATCCTTGCTCCTGGTGTCTCCATTCTTTCCACCTGGAACAACGGTGGCACTAACTCGATCTCCGGTACTTCCATGGCTACTCCTCACGTTGCTGGTCTCGCCGCCTACATTCTCGGCTTCGAGGGCAAGAAGACTCCTGCCGCACTCTCCAGCCGCCTCACCACCCTGTCGCTGAAGAACAAGATCTCCGGTGTTCCTTCCGGCACCGTCAACAACCTTGCCTTCAACGGCAACCCCAGCGGTTAAGCATTTTTTCTTCTTGGCGGCGCTTTTTCAGCATGTTGCATCGAGTCTTTTTTAGTTTCGCATTGATAGAAGTCGAAGATTCCCTTCCTTCTTTTCTTATGAAGTCATGATCGCGGTAGTTGTCTCTTGGTAGTCGATAGCACCAATGGAGATACAATCTATGAAGTTACTCATCCAAAACACCCCCAGTGCTGGGTCTATGCATCGATTGCTGATATGTTGCCCCATAACCTCGATCGCTGGTCAACGATGGGGACACAGAATGCCATCTTGTCACTGCGGCATTTGGATGCGGAGATCGACATCACGAAAACGGCCTTTGTGATACCGTCACTAATGATCTTGTGGGGGTGGCTTACGCTAAGCCTCATCATCATGACTATATTAGACGCCCATGTGTCACGATGGGTCATTCATTGTTTCGGCAGAAGTACTGTTGACTCTGCCGCGTCGTAGGTGGCTTGGAGAGGCGTGGCCTCGCGCGTTAGCATAACGGTGTTGCGTCCACATGCCCTGCATCGTCTTGCATAGGCAATGAGGCTCATGCAGGGTCTACCGGCACCGTCTACGCAAACAAAGAAAGTACCTTTCCTGGTCTTGTGAAGATCTGTCCTCTAGAGACGTGCACATGGATATCTCTCAGTGTAACGATCAATGAGTCACCGCGATCTTCGACCAAACACTCTTTACTCCTAACAAAGCTACCCAGATTTACATTTCCCCCATCTTTGTCTAGGCTCTGCAACCTCGGACGACTAACAATAGCTCGGTCAAGTACCACGCATCATACACCGCTAGCTGCATGCGGTACCAGAGGCTGAAGTCTTCCCCGCATTGTTGAAGCTATATTGGCACAACGTTGATCAGCATGGTTCATCGGAAGATTCCATCTCGCCCCGCAATTACAATTAGGAGATATTGCGGTTAAGGCTGCAGCTGCCATCTTCCGCCAGCCGCCTTGGTGCACGGGCCAATACGAAGCTCGGAACACTTCAGGGTTCTCACGATGAGGTGCGCCACCACCTTTGTCGCTTAACTGCCTCTTTCGAGTATACAAATTGCGCAAAATGACTGAAGGAGTGATACGACGCGGGACGTGTTCGAGGTCGCAGGCTCAGATGATCCGATACCGCATAATCGCGTTCGACAATGAATGACGCGTACCTATCTTCGCGTTGTGGGCTGACGGAAGCTCGCGTCGCGCCGACACCTCAACCTAGGGAAAACCTGGACAGGTCTGGAGCCTACATCGACGTTAGGCCACCTGATTTGCAGGTTTTCTTCTTGATGTAGCCTCTAGGGTGTTCAGTTTTTCCCTTGTATAAGGTGCCGAGGCGCTCCAGCGTTTCGACAACATCCGCGAACTCCTACGCACGTAAGAGCAGACTCCGCGGCAGATCTCGCCCATTATGCCGATAAACGACGTACGAGCATACGGTACTCACCGCGCCTTAGAACATTGAGTCTAATCAAGACTGCAAGCGTTATGAGTATGCACACGCGCGCTGTCAACAGCGGACCATGCCGGTAGCTCTCGTACGACGACCAGTGCAACCACCGGAGCGCGGGACAAGCGTAATGTTCGCCGTCATGGATATTAGGCAATCCCGAATGCTTCCACCCTTCAACCGTCCTCCGTTCAAGTCCGGATTCATCGAACTGCTCGGCCCCAGATCTCAGCCAACTGGCTCATGGGCGCCTTGATACCGCACATTGTCAAATGAGCCTTATCGAGCTCGCGCCAGGGGCATAGGAGAACACAACATAAACCAACCGCTCTCAATACATCTCCCCGGAAAGCATCGGACTGATGGAGCCAAGTCTGCAGCACTTCGCTGGACATGGAAAACAACCTCTAGTTCTCTCACCGCGCTAATCAGCTCTTTCCCTGTTAATGGGTACCCGAATTGAACATCGAAGCCCTTCGAATGATCGACCAATCATCGCTGATACCTTTGGCTGGTACTGTATGTCTCCGCGAAGATGAGCGCAGCGAGAGATCTTGTGAAGTCCAATGTAAGGGTCTTCCTAGGGTCGGCTTCTTTCGGATTTCTGATGTTACACCATACCATCACATGCGCGTTCAATATTTCTGATCAAGCTGCAGCTTCTGATTTAGCCGTAGTTTCGTATTTCTCGTTATGTCCACTTTACGGTGGGTCTGCCGAGGTACCGAAGAGTCAGTAATCGTACGAAGCTTCATCGGCCCTTCTCTCTACCAGTATACAAAACCTCCATCACAAGTCAAACTTGAACCAGAAATCATCGAAAAGATTGCAACAGTACACAGCATGGATTCATTCAAGGCAGGCGATATCACCCTCCAGAATGGCGAGGTTACGCACTACTACGAAGGCGGCTCAGCAGACGGCACACCTCTGATCTTCCTTCACGGCTGGCCCGACATAGCAGAGTCCTGGAAACACCAACTCAACCACTTCGCTGCCGGATCAAAATACCGCGTCATCGCACCCGACATGCGCGGCTATGGCGACTCAACAGCCCCTCGCAAAACAGAGTCCTACGCCCTCGAAGTCCTGGTCCCGGAGCTCGTTGAGTTCGCCTCAAAGCTAGGCGTAAACAAAGCCATATGGGTCGCCCACGACTGGGGCTGTGGTGTCGCCAATTCCCTTGCCGCGCACTACCCCGAAATCTTCATCGCCATGGCAAACCTCTGCGTACCCTACCGAAGCATAGAACTAGGTCTCGAACACCTCAAGGGCTTCATCAACCGCGACATCTACCCCGAAAGCGAGACCGAATGGGGCAATTGGGAGTACATGCGGTATTACCAGGTGAAATTCGAGGACAGCGTCAAAGCGTTCGACGACCACTTGGAAGCCATCACCAAGGCGCTGTATGTGAAAGGCGATGGTAGCAAGTGGGGCCAACCCTCACCTACAAGCCGTGTTCTGAGGGACGGAGGCTGGTTCGGTGGACATCCCGAAGATCTGCCTGATATCCCATTGTCATACACGTCTCTGGACGAGCATCTGTACGCCAGTCTGCTCAAGAGCAAGAGAAAGCATGGTTTCTTTGGTGCGAACGCGTATTACATGAATGACGCAGCGAATGTGGAGTATGCGAAGAGCGAGAAGAATGGGGGTGTGCTGCAGTTCCCTATGCTGTATGTTGACGGAAAGTACGATCCTGTGTGCTCGCCATCTGTACAACCGAAGGCATTGGAGGCGATGAAGCAGTGTGTGAAGAAGTTGACGTACGAGACTGTTGAGGCGTCGCATTGGGTGCACTTGGAGAAGCCGAAAGAAGTTAATGAGGCGTTGGAGAAATGGCTGGCTACTTTGTGAGGTACCCGAAGGTGGCAAACATACGATAGGGTGTATGGCTTTCACAATAGTCGACCTTGCGCTGGCGTATCCAAAGTCACCAAACTTGGTGTGTTCATAGCTGTAGCTGGTAGGGAATTGAGGCTCGCCTCTCAATCAACTCGAAAGATTATTCATTGATGAAATAAATCGCCACAACAGGAAGCACGACCTTCGACTATCTTAATGAACCGTGTACTGCAAGGCGACATACCTTGCGCGACCATGTTCCCGGCAGTATGGTCTAGCCAACACAGCTGCGCACCTGCCATTACTTTTGACTAGAGACTGCAGAATCTCGCCATACATCATGCGCAAACCCGCGATCCCGCCAAGGGATGACTGTCAACAAAACCGATGGACTGTTGGCGCGGACACGCCCTGTCAGTCGTACCAATACTCTCTTTGACGATTGCTGTATGCGCACGTACCCAATGTGTCCTTACACCCCACGACTCGTTGGCAGACCCATCGACATTTCCCAGTGCATCGGCATTCCATAGGGTGTCTATGGTGCTCTTGATAAGAGTGCTTATTCTATACCTGTCGTCGATGTCCCACGACAAGGCGCTGAAAGTTAGCGCCCACCGGGTACAACGACAACATCATGTAGAAACCCGCATCATAGCAGACTACATAGCACAGCGCTTCGCTAGAGGTAACACGACCTTTAATCGGTTCTTTGTCCAAGCCCATTGGGTCTCAGACAACTTCCTTCCCGTGGTCACGGTCCGTTAGTGTTGGATCTGGACTGGACCCTACCCTCTGGTTATCTGGACGCCATATACCTCGCAAGGTGACTATGTACCATCCGCGGGATACACCAAAGCTCTGCTAGACCTATTGTGTGATCTACACGACCAGAGCTCTACACGACTGAGCATCCGACCTGTCGAATTGATGACAGACGAGTAACATTGGAGGGGCTAGAAGCGTGCACCCATGCCGTCGACCCATGGAACAGCAGCATGCGCGCTGTCAGATAACAGTATCTTTTGTGCTCTTGTTGGTGTTGCAAAACAGCATGCGCTCGCCAGAGAGCATGCCCTAACGTGGTCCGTGAGAGGTTGCACTGCCTGTGCGTACGCGCGAGCGCTATTGCTAACTGGTCCTTCAGATTGCGCCGTTGGCTCTCGACTGAGCCGGCCGTCGTTGATGCTGGTACGGGTTGTACGGCATTTGTATTTAAGTTTCGGTTCTGCCGCTCATGCAGGTACAACTCAACGTGAAGGATCCGACCCCTCACCTTTTCTCTGAAAGCCAGCCTCTTATTCATCCTTCTCAGCATATTCGATTCGAACGGTTCAGGAACATGTATACTCCAGTCCTCTTCACTCTGATCGCGTTGGCAGCAGCTACCCCATTGACCAGAGTCGACGGCGAAGATGGCATCGCTGGCAGATGGATTGTCAAGATGAAGGGCGACGTAGCAACGCAAGCTCACGACGACCTGATGGCATCCATGTCCACCAAACCCGATTACGAATACGCAATGCCTGGATTCCGAGGATTTGCCGGCAGTATCTCTGAGGAAGAACTTATTCGACTTCAGGCTTCTGAGCATGTAAGCTATACGCCCGAATTAACATACCTGAACTAACGTACTCAGGTTGAGTACATCGAACAAAACGCCAAGGTCCATAGCAACGAGATCGTGCAACAGTTGAACTCTACGTGGGGGTTGGCTCGTATCTCTCATGCCGAGCCGTATCAAACGAGTTATCTTTTCGATTCCAGCGCTGGGGAGGGTACGTGCGCGTATGTTACCAACCGTATTCGCGTCTGTGTGAACTCCGCTCACAAAGCGACCGCAGATACGTCATTGACACAGGCATCGAGGTTGAACATCCAGAATTTGGAGGGCGTATGTACGAACCGTTCGGCCTGAGAGTTACGCGCTGACGAATTGAAAGGGGCTTTATTCTTAGCTGACTTCAGCGGTGAGGACACCATGATCGACGCCATGGGCCACGGAACTCACGTGGCTGGTACAATCGGCTCGATGACTTGGGGCGTGGCAAAGAAGACAACGCTGCTCGCTATCCGTGTACTTGACTCGTACGGTTCTGGTACAACCGAGGGCGTACTTGCGGGTATGGAGTATGTTATTACCGATGCAGCAAAACGTAGTGAGGCTGGAGAATGTCCCAACGGTTTCGTGGCCAACATGAGTCTTGGAGGGCGTAAGACGCAGGCCCTGAATGATGCTGTGAGTAACCCATTCCGTCTTTTATCAGACATTCAGCTCACAACGATCTAGGCCGCTGCCATCGTTGCAGCGGGAATCTTCCTTGCTGTCGCAGCGGGCAATGAGGGACGCGACGCTAAATACTCGTCTCCGGCATCTGAACCTAGTGTCTGCACCGTGGGTGCTACGGCCATTAACGATACGCTCATTGAATGGTCCAACTATGGCCCTATAGTCGACATTTTGGCACCCGGCGTTGAGATCACCAGTACTTGGATCGGCAGAACGATCGATACGATTTCTGGAACTGTAAGTACACTCCCAGATAAGTGTCGGTGTGACGCGCGCTGACTATCCGCCCTCGCGTTCAGAGCATGGCCACCCCTCATATCGTTGGTTTGGCCGCGTACTTCATGGGTCAAGGATGGCCAGTGGAAGGGCTGTGCGAAAGTATGGCTAGCGTCGCGACCAAGGGCAAGATCGATGAAAGTACTCTCCATGAAACCACACCGAATCTTCTAGCCTTCAACATGGCCGAAGCATCTCAGCAGTACGGCAGACGCACAAAGCGGGTCGCGTAGAATCGTTAGAGTGCATTATCGACTGGAAATGTCTGGCATGAGGATTCGGTACTATAGTTTTGACAAAGGGGAAACCCTGGGAAGCAATGTCGAAAAGTTGATAAAATTGACCTTGTTCATTAGCGCATGCCCATAGATCGTGCGGATCGAGCCGTGCGCGACAGCACCGGTCATTGAGGCGGGAAGATGCATGAAACCTCACCTGCCGTGCCGTCTCACGTCAAGTATGTCAGCCTCATCGGTGGTCAGATCCCACCTAGGGCGATCCAGATTCGCCAGTGAAAGCCTCCGATCTCAACGGCTGTCGCAACTGATGCGCCATGCATGGAGCCCTAGATCTTAAACTCAAAGCGGTGATGTCGCCCAAGCCTGCCACGCCGATCGTCAGTGCACTAGTCAGCTGAATCAGCGCGCCCGGCCACTCACAAGGCGTGACATCATAAAATGCGGGGTAGAGACTTGCGATAACAGGCTAGCTTGTCTGCGAGCCCGACACTTTGCAGAACCTCCAAGCCTTCCAAGAGCACTGCCCTCACCTGAGCTCTTCTCTATCCCGCTCCATATCTGGCCCATTGGCATCCTCGGACCTCAAACACGCATCATCTTTACTGGGGAGAAAGGACCATCCTAGAAGTCATGGCGTCATACTTCGACCTCCAGCCGCAGAAGGCGCCGCCAGCTACGAATATAGATGAGATGCCACAGGAGCAGCGCAAGCAACTGGGTCGCATGAACAGTTTAATGTCCCCAGCAGTCACACAAATATTGGAAGGTTTAGGCGACGAAGAATCGGACAGTGATAGCAGCGAAGAAAAACATCCATCCGAAGAAGAAGATCAACGTGCCGCTCAACAACACACTAAGCCAGCACTCGACCCCCAGAAATTGCGCCAAGACAAGCAAAAGCACGTTGCTGCCCAGGCGCCTCGCCCTTCATCTCTATCACCAAGCAGAAGTTCCCTGAAGACGACCAGCAAAAGCTCTGGCCATTCTAAGCCGTCCTCGGCGCATGGCAGCGGAGATAAGTCCGCAAAGTCCAGACAAAAACAGCCGCATATGGCGCGATTCCATTCCTTGCGCAGCATGCTTTTTCAACAGAGGATTCAAGACCAGATGAAGACTGCCACGCAAGAAGATTGCCAGCAGGAGCAGAATGCGGCAGACAAATGGCGGTCTCAACACGCCGAACGCCAGATGCATCCCCCGGGAACACCCGACCAGGACGCTTCAGGAAAAGGTGGAATTGGAAGTAGGATCCGGATGACAGTAAGACGGATGACGACCAAGGAAGCAGGGAATATGGAGAAGATCAGGGAGGATGGTGCGCCAGTCGAGTTCAATGATCGCGCATCCACAGCTTCTTCCGACAACGAGAAGGACCAACGAGAAGCATCCACGGCTCGCTATGAAAGTGACAACGAGAGTATCGATCATTCCGATGTGGACGAATTGGTACGATGGGTTAGCCGACGAGATCCCCCTAGCGACGGTGAACGACGGAAGGGCGGCGACGTAGTGGAAGCGAAAGAAGACAGTGGTCATGAGAGCCTGGGACCATCAGACGTTGAAGATCTTGTTCGCTTTGCCAGCAGGAAATCTGACGCCAAAGAGACCGCCGTATTGAACGAGGCACATTCAGGATACAGCGACGCATCAACCGAATCCGACAGCGAACTCAGAGAAGTATCCTCAGACGAGGAAGAAGACGCAGACGACCTCGTACGCTGGATTTCGCACCGTGACGGACCCAAAGCAGGTCCCGTACGCCGCAACCTCCAACGACCCGAACTGGATTCCGACGTAGGCGAGCACTACGACTCCGATGTCCCCGAACTAGGTCGCTGGTTCAAGCGCCACGACGGCACGAGCGGCGAATCCGCGGCCTCCACACCAGTCAAAGAAACCTTTGACGAAATCGACGACGAAGAAGAACAGCGAGGCCGCCCCCGAAGCCGCGAGTCCATCGAGCCCATCAAAGAAAAACGCCACATCACCGACGACGACGTCGACGAGCTCGTCCGCTGGGTCAGCAGGAAAGACTCCAAACAACAAGACTCCCCCGGACCCGTTTCTGAAAACCCAATCGGCCGTCTGAAGCGCGAAGAGGAAGAGAAGCAAGCGCAAATCGGCATGAGTGTTGATGACGGCAGTCTCTCACACGCCGATTTGCAAGAAGTTGTAGAGCACGCAAGGAAAACGAGCGCTGATATGGTCAGCCCGCCGCCTGCATCGCCGTTTGCGGTCGAGACGGGCGACTTGAGGGTGCTGAGGGATGAGAAGACCAAGGCGACACCTCTGGAGCGCGATTCGCAGCGTGATTTAGATGGAAAGAGGGAGAATCTCGATGAGAAGAAACAGGAGCTGGGTATGAGTCTAGATGATGAGAGTCTAAGTCATAACGACGTGGCGGAGTTGATTGAACATGTTAGGAAGATTTAAGAGACAGTGGGCGTGGTCTACATTCAGCACGGAGGGATCTAGGAGCCAGTATTTATGTTATGAAGGATGCGCGAAAGTGCGGAAGCTACGGATGTCGATGTGGGTGTGTGGGTCCATCGCGAGATCTGGGAAGATCTATTTTTGTTAGTCTGGGGTTTAGCACGTCGTTTTATACCAATCGAAGATTCCGTTTCAAACTGAATCCCATGCCTGAAATCGAAGTTGAACGTGCAAAAGATATGGTATTCATACAACATCAAACGAGGAAAAAAAAGAATCTATATCGCAAATGCAACTTCCAAAACCCCTTCAAATGCAAGACAACCACATCTCAACCTCGACCCCAACCCTCTCAATCCAACTTCAGCGCCTCCACGCCCTCAAACTGCAACCTCCTAAACATGCCCCTAATAACCCCACACTTCCTCTCTCTCTCATCATCCCTGCCCCTCATCTCCGTGCGCATCTTGCCATACATATTCTGCCCATCCCCCCTCTGTCCGCCCTCCTTAATATTCGTAAAGAACATGCGCCTCCCCGTACTATCCAACGGCTCCCACTTAGCAATCTTAACATTCTCCCTAGGAATAACTTCGTGTTCGCGGTTCGGATCGAGAAACTTGACAAAGCTGATGAAGTAATCCGAAATCTCGTTTTGGCGACGCACCATGACCTGGCCAACGGTGCCAGCGTGCTTGGTACCGTAGCCGTTCTCTATATCCGGACCCCACATTACGTCCCATTGGTATTGGTAGGTGGGTACGGAAGGCGGGTTGTGAAGGGACATGGCGTTGGAGGCGAGGTAGGTAGGGCAGATGTAGCGGATGTCGCCTTGGGCTTTTGCGACGGCGTCCCACCAAGCGCCGCTGTCGGGCCAGTGGCGGTCGTTGGGGTAGGTTGATACGAGGGTGGAGAGGTCTTCGTCGGTGAGAAGCGGGTAGTGGTCTTTGAGGTAGGATTTGAATTCGCCTTCGTTGTCGGTTGTTTTCTTGACTTGGTCGGAGCCTTCGTTCGAGGTGAAGCCGATGATGGTGGGGACCTTGGCGTAGCGGTCGGCCATTATGGCTGCTGGGGCGGGCGCCGTGAACATGCCGCCCGCGGGCTCGGTGGTTGGCGCCCACATCCAGCGTGGGGGTGTGTCGCGGCCGGGGAAGTTCATGGGGTAGTTCTCGTAGTAGAGGTCGCCTGTTGCTGCGTTGCGTACGCAGGCAATGTCTGTGCAGTTCAGTCCATCTGCGACCTCGTTGTAGAACTTCTCGGCTTGGTCGGGGGTGAAGAATGTCGGACTCGCGGGGGACTGGGCGATGGCGCCGTGGAAGAGCTGCTTGCGACCAACGCCCGGGACGGGGTGGTAGTTGTCGCCTTCGTTGGCCGTCAGTTGCAGCATCACAGACGCGCCGCCAGCGCTCGTGCCCATAATGACTACGTGGTCTGGGTTGCCTCCAAAGTACCTGATATACTTCTGGACCCACTCCAGCGCCGCTCTCTGGTCGCGCAGCGCGTTGTTGTAGTCGCCGTCCTTTGCGATCTCTTTGCCAGAGAGGAAGCCGTAGATTCCGTTGCGGTAGTACATGGTGACTACAACGATGCCCTTGTCGAGTTTGCCGTCCACGCCCTTTTCACGTCGCGCCTTCTCTACCATCTCGCCTCCATTGCTGCGTCCTGGGAGATGGAAGCCACCACCGGGGATGTTGACCAGAACTGGTAGGTCGTCGCCTGCCTCAGCGTCAATCGGTGTGAAGACGTTCAAGCTCAGACAGTCCTCGGTGGAACGAGTCTTGATACCCAGAACGTCGGGTCCTGAGATATCTTCCCTGTTTCGCTGAGTTGGATCGATCTTTTGGATTCTTGGGCACATGCCCAGTGATCCATCCCACACCAGAGGCTTCTCGCCCCGACCAACGCCATATGTCCTGTTCACCGGTTGTGGTCCGCGAAACCTGTTCTGGCCTCCTGCATCTGCGGCATATGGTATGTTCCAGTAGAACCTAACCTTATCCGAGACGTTTGGCTTGATGGCTAGGTAGTCCAGCTCGACGATGTAGGGGTCTTCGGTGTTCTTGAGCGGCGCGGAGAAGGTAGACGTAGGTTTCGAGCTGAGAGGTGGCAGCCATTCCGAGCTGGGACGTAGGTCGGGCGAGTAGAGGAATGCGAATGTGAAGGCGAGGACAACGGCAGCCGTGAGAGCGAGTATAACGCGCCGGTCGAAGATGAGGCTCGAATTGAGCGGGCGGATTGCCATGGTGGGCGTGTATTGAAGGTTGTAAAAGAATGTAAAGTCGCGTGCGAAGCGCTGAAAGATTATTGCAATGCCGTTGGAGTATGCATCTGCGTCTCGTGTATGAAACTCAGGAAAGGAAAGACTGCTCACGGAGACAAAGAAAGTGTCCTTCGGCGCTGTCGCAAGCCTTCCAAGCATCCATGGCTGCGAGTTTCCCTGTCTAGCCCGACGGGAGGACCGAAGAGGCTAAGGGGGCGGCAATCGGCACCATCCGCTTGGCGCTGACGCGTATCGCATTTCGTGGGAATGCCATGGCGACGCATCGCCATACAACCACAATCGCGCAAAGAGCTGGAGAGGGTGGGAGGAAGCTTGGGAGCTACACGGCTGAGGTATGAGGTTTAAGTTTTCGACAGGGTCCAGAGCGCCTTCTCTCGGCTGGGGCGTATAGAGGTCAGCAACTAGCGTGCGATGCACCTGGCTCCAGCTGCATCACGTCTCGTATGAGCCACATCTCCAGCCACTTCCAATTGATCGAGCGCACGACTTTAAGACCGACCAGACATCTTTTCGATTGAGAATCGCACTCATTGGGGCTGTATTCCTGGATCTACAAGAGATGCTGGTACCAGGCCTGCCTGCCGTATCCGTGGTGGCGGCGAGTACTCCGGATCCTTCAGTCACCATGACGGCCATAGAGACAAGTAAAGGCAGACCTCGATGGAAGTCATGGCTTCACAGCATAGAACGTCGCCTACTAGGGACAGTACCGCCACAATTTCGTCCATCTGGGCAGCAGAGCCAAACGTCTGCACGCGTGCCATGTACCAAGATCCTCAATTGAAGCCATACCCTAACATCGTCCACTGGGGTTGGTACGCCTCGAACATACCCAAACGATGACTTTGACTTTGGATGTTGCTGTCGCGCTCTTACCTTCTCACGGCTCTCTCACCTGAAGCATCTAATGGAGGCTAGCATGGGCCAGTGTGGGGTTTTTATATCGACTCTGTCTTCTGTGCTCCTCTCCATCCTTCAGTCTCCAACACTCTACTCTTTCTTCTATCCAATACGTCTTGATCATTGCAATAAGCCGGTCGACGCAACCCCAGCTTCAGCTTCGGCTTCGGCTTCGGCTTCGGCTTGTTATCGAGACCTTCCTTCGACGTTTCATCGGCCATGTCCACTGACAGCTCTCGAGTAAAAAAACTTCAACAGCACACGCCCGAAAGAACCGCCAGTCCTCTCTTCGAGCCTGAGTATCCCGTACCTCCCGTGTCCATTGCCATCATGGTCGCGCCCTTGTCCCCGAAGCCGTCCACACCAGAAGTCCACAGCCTGTCACCACACATACGGAAACTCCGGGAAATCGAGGGTAATGCTAAGCTTGCTATTCTTAGCTGGAATACCAGCGGTGTAGAGTTAGTCATACCGTCAAAGCGCAAGGGTATGTCATGTCTGGCGTGAGAAGTACTTTTCGGTGGACACAGGTAGAAGGGAATCACCAGATTCTGCTGCTTCATGATGCCGGTCTTTCTTTCCAATCTATAGCGTTCTCACGAAAAGTGCCTCCGGCTGACCTTTATTAGTTCCCGAAATGCTATCCGATAGTGACGATGAGGACAGTGACGACGAAAAGGATCAATCGCAAATGCCCGCGTACGATCCGATCCAACATTGCCGACCGAAGCTACCGATCTACCACCCCGGCTTCAAACAAGCTGAAGAAGATGCGCAAGCTATCCTGCGCGTCTTCTTGGAATTTTTCAAAGCCGCCAAGAACCGCGGTGTCGCTAGCGAAGACATTACTTACCTCTGGAACGAGACCATCAAGTACCGTGACATTTCCTATCAGGGGGAAACCCGCATTGCTGTGACCGGAGACAGCGGTTCCGGAAAATCAGCTCTGATCAACAGTTTCCTCGGTGAGGAGCTTGTACCAGAAGTAGGTTCACTTTACGATGATATCATGCGCAGCTTTTGCTAACATTGACATTTAGGGTGACGCTGGCGAGGCAGTTACGAATGTGGTAACCGAATTTCGGAAAAAGCCCTTGTCTATGAACACCGGCGCAGTTCAGGCTGAAGTTCAGTTCTACTGCCTCGAATACTGTATTGATAATCTTGTGACCAATTGGTTCACCATTTGGTTCACTACCAGGCAGAAACTCATTGACGACGAGGACAGTGTCGACGACAAGGATCGAACGCTCCAAGATGCTGCGTTGCAATGCTTGAACCAACTCTTTGCTTCTCGCGTCGCACCCGAAAGCCTTGAGGGATTTATGTCGACAGGCAAGACTCTGGAGGACAACTCCGCTTTGAAGCAACTGGTACAATGGACCGTTGAAATCCATCAACAGTTTGTACCCGACGGCGACTTAACTGTCCCCTTAACCTCCAGCACCCATAACGATATGCGCGAACAACTTCGCGGGTTCCGCATGAGAGATGTTACCAACGCGCGTTACAAGGGAAAGATACTTCGCTTCAGTACTTGGCCGTTTGTGGAGATCATACGGTAAGAGCATATGCTTTCGTGCATAAGTCATACTACTAACCTTTGGCCATAGCTACTACTACGACAGCCCCTTATTGCTAGATGGCATATGCTTCGGTGATGTAGCCGGAAGCAAAGACATTAATATTTTTCGTGTCACTGCTGCCAAAGCATATCTTCAGCAGTGTGAAATGACAATAGCGGTCGCTGAGATCAAGCGCGCCACGACCGATGGAGGCTTTCAAGAACACTACCTTGAGGCGCATAGGAGACGACATCATGGTAGCGTCATCCTAGTAGTGACTAGAACCGATGTAGGTTTGATTGGAAACTGTCTATACTTCATCACTGACGACCTCGCAGGATCTAAACGAAGAGGGTACCAGTACTCTTCAGCTGGACGATACCGCGGAAGAGAAAATCGCACCTATCGAAGAAAAGCTCAACGACTATTCCAACGAGCTAGACATAGTGGAAAATCAAACAGAAACCAACAAGCTTGAGATCAAGCGTATCAAACTCAAGATGAATCATGGCACTGCCACTGATGGTGAACGTACTCGGTACGATACGCTCCGTGCAGCTAACAAGATCTCACTTGCGCGCAAGAAAGCCATCAACCTTCTCAAGGAATCTTTGGAGAAAGAGTAAGTTTTGACTTGAAGTTGTATCTTGCGCCACGCTGACACCATCAGGCGCACGGACGCTCGCGTTGCATGCCGCAACCGGACTGTGGCTGCAAAGTTAAGCGATCAATATAGTCACAGCACTGGTGACGATGCGGGTGCTCCAGTCTTTTGCGTCTCGAACAAGATGTACATGCGGTATCGGCGAGGATACAATTCAACGAAGGCTCCTACGATGAGGCTCGAAGACACTCAGATTCCAGCTGCATGCGCCCACGTGGTGGGAATTCCGTCGCAAGGAAAGACCGCTGTTCTAGAACATTTTCTTCATTTCAAAGTACCGATGCTATTGAGCATTGTCCAGATGAGTTGTAGCAAGAGTACCGAGGCTAGAGTAGAGCACGTTACCAAGATCATCGACAAGGCTATAAAGGTACCGTGTACGCTTCTTAGCGAAAGCTTGCGCTAATATCTCCAGGATATCGAAACATCAGTTCGTGCTGTTGCGAAAAGATGCATTCAGACATTCCTGAAAGAACTCATCGCTGCGATATCAAGTCACGAATTGCAGAAGAAGTTTGACAGGAATGCAAGGAAGAAGCTCGAAGATTTGACCAAGATGGTAAGAGCCGCATGTCATAGTCCATTTCCTTTCTGACAGTTGCAGGCCGCCGCCTCGTACAGAGCGTTACTCAACAAAAAAGGTTAGTGCTACCCACGTCCGAGATCAATAAGCTACCCGCTAATAGACCGCAGGCGCGTATCACCAGAAGAAGCTGAACGTTCACCACGATTTCAACGCTGCACTCTTGGAACCTGTAAAGTCAGCAATCGATGTCGCTTTCCGAAACGCCTTGGATAAAGCACCCATGGCGTTTAAAGCCCAGGCGGCACAGACGATCAAGACCGGACTCAGTGATTTGAACAAGCAGCTCAAAGGTAGGCACCCTGAAATCATTATTTTCTTATAACTAACACATGTCGGAGACGATCCTCAGGCTTTGGCCGGCAAAGCATATCAAAGCTGCTTCGCCAGTCGTCTAATCGACCACGAAAAGAACATCACTCTCAACGTAGAAACTGCGAGAAAGCGACTCCGCCAAGGGCTAAACACTATTGGCCAAAAGGCCCTCAGCTCCGAAGACCAGGGCTATATATACAAAGCCATGGAGAGCATCTACCCCGAAGCGTTTGCACAGACGGCGGGAAAAGGTAACGTCTAACGTCCTTCCACACAAGTATACATCCGCTAACACCCATCTCTAGGCCAGGTGCTCAGAAGAGTTCGCCACGCCTACCTCGAAGCTCACGTCACCAGTCTCGAAGGACCTTTTGCTGCGATCGCCGAGCGGGTGGAGGAGGATGCAACGAAGCTCATCGAGAAGACCTGCGATAGGCTGTGCGAAGAAATTGTCAAAACCCTCAGGGAAATTCGTACTGCATTCCACAAGCAGAAGTACAAGAAGGAAAACAACACACCTGAGGGCCAGCGCTTCCTCAAGGAGCTGCATGAGCTCGTTGATGAAGCAAGGAGGATTTTTGAAGGACCAGTGAACGAGTGTCTAAAGAAGTGCAAGGAGCATAAGTGAGCCGGGCAGTCTGCTATGGCGGAGGAGGTCGGACTGGCTTTGCGCTACTTGGACTGCATGGGGAAATGGCCAGGGAAATGGTCAGGAATGGTACTCATTCTGAGGCTGCCGGGCAGTGCCTTTGCATGCCTCGAGGCCTTAGTGGCGCTGATGGCTGCATATTACATCTGCAGAAAAGCAGTACTTCGTGTCGGCAAAATCGCGACATAGCTTCTGCGAACTGACCCATATGGATAAATCTTCTGCCTCAATCTGACTTCTCTTCTGCACGTTGTATTGTTAACAGCGTAATAGGGTATCTTAGATTTAAGAAAGCAAGTTTTAAACAGGTAACTGCTCTCTGCTAGGTGTCTTATAAAGGCGTAAATTAAAGTTTAATACGTACTTTATCTAAGGTGTGCGCGAGGGCGCGCTAAGCCTTCTCAGCTCGGCGGCCGACGCACCAGTGGGTAGCTCGACTCTTTTCTGTACACGCGCGAGAATTTTGGAATAGGTTCTTCGATCGCATGGCATTTGATGGTTGCAACAGATCGGGTTGTGCATCCATGGATATGGAGGACCTCATACTAGTCGCGATCAAGCTAGTGTTGGCCTTGACCGGTTTCAGGCAGACATCACATGGCGGCCACCAATCAGCGTTGAATGACGTCCGCGGGTTTCTGTTCTCAGCTCGGCCAGCGCAACACTTCAGCTGCCATATCTATGGCATGCCGCCGCCTTTTGTCCTACCCTCTCCCCCATCAAAACAATTTGCGCAAAACCGAATCATCTTCTCACCGAGATCGCTAGCAGCTTAGCTAGACCTCTATCTCGACCAAGAGGGCGGCGAAGCCGCCCCGGGCCGTACTTAGCCGGACCCTACGATTGACAACACCATCAACGCACGCGCATTCCCGTAGATCTCAGCAACGCTTGAGGTCTCCTCTCATCCCTATCGACAACCACCGATAGCTTAGGCGGCCTGTGATCAGGCCGCTCACGCCATCAACTGCACCCACTAGTACGCATCTAGCCCCATACATTCAAATCGAGATGCTAATATTACTATAGTGATCATCGCTTAGAACAGTTCGGTTACTGTCCGTTCTGTGCAGCAGGAGACCAACAATACCATCCTGATGACCCAATACACGGATCAGCCTCGTTCGCCGCGCTTCAGATACCTGGTGCTTTTCGGGAAGATAATCATGAGTGTTCAGAAAGTGACTCGCTATGGTGGACGGATCGCACAGTGAACCCCTTGGATGTGGAAGGCTATCCAGCTTTCAACACCTGGGCCGAGAGTGTTCCTTTGGGAACCTCTGTCTCTGAGTCTTTCGACTTGGAAAAGTTCATTGACATCGATCTGTTAACCTGGCCTGCTCACGAACCTCAAAACTTCCTTACACCAGAGATCAGTCCGTCGGCCGATGACGCTATGGCCGAAAACTTCCAATCGCACATTCACAAGAACTTCACGACCCCGACAATCGACCCCGCTTCCATGAACCATTTCTCCGAGATTTCAGCCCCAGGCACTGCGTTAAGGCTGGCAATGGATCAATTCCCAAGCATTTCGACTCCTTCAAGCTCCGAGCCCAGGTCATCCATTTCTACAAGTCCCTCTAGTAGTGGCCTGGGCTATGATGACGCTGTCACTGGCAAGAGAGAAATCAGCTCGGTTTATATGGCTCGGCCATGCCCAACATGCAAAGTCATCTTCACGAAAGAAGCTCATTACAGGCAACACCAACGGCACCGCAAATGCACGGCTCCCCCATCGATAATTCAATGCGACGCATGTCAACGAGTCTTCACGTTACCAAAAGACCTCCGAAGGCACCAAACGCAGTCCTCCTGCACTGTTCAAACAGTTAAGGAGTCTTTTGCATGCTCGATTTGTGAGCGATCATACCCTCGAAAAGACTCGTTGCAGCGCCATACACGGAAAGTGCATACCAACAAAAGCGGTTAGTACCGTCGACACGAGCCAACCCCTCACCTACACTGTTACCTTTACACCTATCATCATCACAAGTTCTGCGAATCACGATTGGACGCCGAAGCGATCTCGTCTTATTGGAAAAGAGTACCGGGCCTAGTACCAAGACTCAGGGTGCTCCTGCTGCCGAATGGACACGACCATGTCAGCATGATCATAGCTCGAAATCCTCCATGGATGGAGGTGCGCAAGTATACCTCGGGGCGTTGAGGACTGTGCCAGAGCCTTTTTGATGTAACCGTCTCGGCGGGGAAGCGGAGTAGTAAACCGTTTCCACATCATCGAAGAGGTGAAAAAGACCATCTGGCATGGAGGGTATGCGACCGTTTTGTTTGTTGTTTCCTTCACGTTCAGTCACTCATTTTCTTCCTCGACTTGTTGTCATTTTCATCACAACTACTCTTCATCCCCACAAAAGCGCACCAGAGGGCTCAATTCACATTGAGTCAGGATATTCCGGTCATTTACGTGCGTATTCTTTGTAAGATGTTGCCTTTGGTATAGGGCCTGCCCGTTCATTGGCAGTTGAGATGATGCTGACTTCTATTCTACCTTTCGTGCCATGATGCACAAAACCCATTACTTCGTTGTATATATTGAGAAAAATAAAACTCAAAAGGCCTAAAACTTCGAGTTTCCACACCCCGACATTGCACTTGAGATCAGACGGGTACCTGCTGGGCCAGCTTTCTGACCAGCCTTTCACTGCGCCGCTTATCTCTCTGCTTCTTAGACTTCTTCTCACGCACTTTCTCGTTGATTTGCTCAAGTATACGGGCCTCTTCCTCTTTCATTTGCTGGCTCAAAGGTGGTGACTGCGGGTCGTGATTGGTCGTACCCAACACCTCAGCGTACGTAGGTATACTCGAAAGCCAATGTGGGTATCGAAACTGCGTTCTCGTCCGACTTACAATCCCCTTCAGCTTCGGGAAATCCTCCATTTGCAATCGGTATGGCGTTACAGGCTTTGGAAGTCGTACCACCAACATGCGTCTCTCGCCGTACCAGAACCGCGCCAAACAATGATCACTTTTGTACATACGCTCCTGCTTCCGTTTCGCATATGTAACCGAGTTGCCAGAAAGGTCTGTCAGAAACGAATGAAGCTCCAGCTCTGGGCTGGGTCCGTGCTGATGATGAATGTCGGTGACGACGTATACATCGGCATGGGAATCGTTCCGCAGGAAAGAAGAAACGCACCAGTGCGACTGGAGTATCAAGCCCTCGGGGAGGAAGCGATCAAGCTGCCCGTTGAGAGTTGGCCCGTTACCCCATATGAGCCTCATGTATGCAGCAGGCAATTCTGTGTTGCCTAGATCGGCAGGTATCCGCTCTTGTATCCTGGTTAAGCTGCGCTGAGACTGATATGGCTCACAACCCTGTTTATCTTCTTCGACACGCAAGAGAAGTGGCTCAAAATGCTTGTTCAGCCTGCGAGCTCGTTTCACGGAGACCAGAGTCCTCTTCCTGTCGTTGTGTCGCTGCCGCGTTGGAGATCGGATAAAGGCTTGAGGCAGCCAGAGTGGAGAGTTGTAAAAGGACTGATCGCTACATCTCAAGATGACTCGTATTCTCGAGTCAGACATCGTGACTCTATTGCATCGCCTCCACGTCTTGCTCAGTCCTGCACCTTTCTTCCAGGCTACGAGAGCTTTGCGGCCCTTCAAATGCCCACTCGCCGAGTTGAGAAGAATTGGCATTGAAACGCCAGCGTGACCATCTTTCAAGAATCCACCGGTCGTGTCGACAACGGGATATGAACTGGTGGACATGCTCCAGAAATTTTTCTTGTTCATGCCGACAGTCTCGGTCCAAGTTCGCGTTGATAAACTCACAAACTGCTCGAACCGCCGGTGGTCTTCTCCTCCACGTTCTGGCTCACTCCAAGCTCTGTATGAGAAGCGTACAGCCTATTTTAGTCTCAACAATGTTTCTTAACAGTCATTCTGGGAGAACGTACATTTATGCCGTCACAACTTGAATCCCCATCTTGCGATCCGATTATCCAAGCTGCGGCCCATGGCCGAAAGATGACACCACGTCCCCATAATGCTGGCTGGCATTCTTCGCTGTTATAAGATATGGTATCAGAAAGATTTGACCAATCCACTCTGGAGCGCCAAGCTGGTTCCGGGAATTCCCATGGTTTGTATTGTAGGTCGCTTAGTGAGTGTAGAGCCTTGTCTCTGACGTTTGGTGTTGCATCACTCACTCCCATCAATGACTCTGGCCCCGTCTCTACAAGTGAAAGAGAGCCACCCTCGTGAGATAAAGCCGCAAATGAATATCGAGTGCTGGCAATCTGGTTCTTGTGATCCGCAAAACGTAAAGGCTTTGGTGAATGGTGGATATGGGGAGATGGCTGATCGGAATGTGGCGCAACTTCAGACCTTAATGACCGCCGTCCAGCATGAGGCGAACGCCTCATTGTCACTTCGTTCATTCTGATGGTACAAGATGAATTCGAAAAGACGTAGCACTGCAACTAGAACAAGATTAAACGCCCTGGAACCTACGTTGACGTTGGGTTACCTACTTTGCAGGTTTTTGTCTTGATGTAGTCCGCAGGCAAATTTAGTTTTTTTCTTATATGAGGTAGTAGGGTAAATTGAAATCGCGTTTGATGTTCTAAGATCCAACTTGATGATGCGGATGATGCGGCTGGGCTGAGCTGTTCTCTCGCGGCCTTCGTTCACAGCCAATCGCTAATCAATGCTCAATCTGGCTAGCTCACGCCTACTGACAGCCGATAATCATTTCTTACTCTACAGATGTGGCCTCCAATAGCATGTCGCAAATGATCAAATAGGTGTAAACCGACTGAAAGATACGTGAACAAGAAATAATCCATGGATGAGTTTCGTGGCCTCCAGTAATCGGGGAGGGGCCTGGAAGTCGGAGTAACGCGGCCTCCAATGGCAAGGCTTCCAGTTTTTTGGACCCTGCATGCAGGCTACAATGTAATGAGATGCGACACATTACTTACTGCTCTCATAGTGTAGCCACAACTGTGGCCTCC